TCTGTTCTTGAGATGAAAAATTAGTTTATTTCTTATTATGGTTCTTTTATAAACCTTGACAAAATTTAATAGCTTTAAACTTAAAATACAAGCATTTAGGGAAGATTTTATAATTTTGTATGTAAAACTTTGTAATTTTAGCCGTTGTTTGCGGAGTCATATCTTGAAAACTATTAGGCCTGTAATAACCATTTTGGTCTTAAATGATAGGTAATTTAATGTACTTTAAAAATGGTTGTGGTTGTTCTGTATGAAAAAGTGATGCTTCAGGGTCAAAACCGGACAATCGTAAAAATAGTGCGAAATTCCGCCGGTTTTTAAGCTTTTTTGAGGTGATCCGGAAGGTCGCCGAGGTCGAAAATTTGGATTTAGCAATTCGGTACTATTACAAACAACATAAAAAAAGAAACGTACTACCCCATTTAATGCAAGGTAAAATGCGTTAGGTTACTGGGTTAATAGTCTAGTTAAAGTGTTTGGCTGTGTCCATAACAAATCCTCAAGTTTAACCTTAAATTAGAGGGCCTTAAGCACAATACTAGAAAATTGACTAGTGCCCTCTTAAAAAACGCTGTAGTGAAAAAGTATAAGTACAGATATTTTTTTTGAACTGTACAATAAAATTCTGAATATTATGTTATAAGCATAATGTGACAAAAAATATGTATATTCCCTTTCTGTTATTTTCGAAAATAATATTATCTGTACTTCTTGATGTTATCACTAATTTTCCCTGGAGATTTTATGACTACACCACTGCATGCAAAAGGCTGTGTAAGTATTTTTTCCCCTCAATAAACAGTACACCAGACAAAAAAACAAAATTTCTTTTAAGCACTTTTGTCAATTTATCACTTATAACGTTTATAAATAGTATCGTAACTTAAGTTAGGTACTTACTTTATGTGTCTCTGGAAAATATATTTTTGTTGAATAAACTCACACCATAAAATAATATGCAGTCTGCAGTTAAAATCAAACTTAACAAAACCAATAGAGAACACTTTCAGAACTGCAGTGTTTGCTTTAAGTCAGTGATATCAAAGCAAAGTCCATGGTGATATCAACTATCAGTGTAACTTTGATAATGATAGTTCCAGTGATTTGGCCTTTTGAAATACCAAATAAAGACCAAAAAAATGGAAAAGGTAGTTGAACAGAGTAGTTTTAGTAAATAAAATAATATACATGTAAGGTTGAATCTAAACAATGTGAAACATTGGGTCAGGTCAGATGGATTCAACTCTAAATCCAACTTGCAACCATAAAAATTGACAGCGAGCACATCAACTCGGCTACCCAGACAGTTATAACTTATATAATTATAGGTCTGGTAAACATATTCTTGCTGCAGTAAACATTTACTTTTAAATATATAGGTACAGTACTGGTACTTATAAAATTGATTCAATTTATAGACACACATTTCATTTCTAATATACAGGGTGTTTGGTAGTCAGTAAAACTGTTAAGGTGCAGCTTTTCCATGTTTCTGCTTGTATTCAATTATATAAAAAAAAATACCTTGTATTTCAAAATTATTCTGTAAAATAACTTATATTTTTAAAATAATGTTACCTCGTTCCTCTTTTGATGGCTCATCTACAGACCAAGACCTTTCTTTAGAGACCCCTACCAAGTTTATACACCCAGCCGGTCTCTCAAATTAGCTATGACAAAAACCCCGTTTTCCTCCATAAGAATAACATGGGATGGGAATTTAAAGGCCACTGGGGCAGAGCCCCGAGGAAATTTACCATGTTTCTCTTTTGATGGCTCATCTACAGACCAAGACCATTCTTTAGGCACCTCTACCGAGTTTCTACACCCAGCCGTTCTATAATAATAGCTATGACAAAGAAAAACAGTTTCAAATTAATATATAGATTATTTATTATCTTAATTACCTCTGACTTGTGCATTTATAAAATTCTCTATATTAATGCCCTTTGACTATGTACTATAGTATTAAATATGTAATAAAATATTAGATTTTATAAGTTTACTTGGGGTTAACTTTATTATACAGATACCTTTTGCACAAAACTTTCAATAAATGCGTTCTTGTAATTAATGATTGCAGTTAATGAAAAATATGAGTAATTTTATATTTAAAGCTATATTTCTCCCCTTAGGCTGACATAACATGTCACATATTGCATATCATTTTAAAGGTTAAAATGTGGAGATGTTGTTTATACTATTTGACAGTTTTTAACACGACATGGTAAAAAATTTTCTTAAGCGAGTTGTAGCACCCTTTTTATAGATTTTTCAAAATTTGTTACTTGAGTCAATTTTAAGAACTTTTAATTGGGTTTAGCTGTACCATATTATAGGTGTTTTGATAGAAAACTTTATGAAGATTCTAAAAATGCCATTGGAAATATCATTATGTAGGTTAAAAGTTGAGAAATATGAGATTTTATTAGGCAATGTCAAGAAATTTAGAAAATTCTAAAAATGGCTGTTGCCGGAAGTAGGAGTGAGATATTACTACCCAAATTGTGTATTTTTATAGCAATTTGTGTGCATAATAATGCCATAAAATATTTGACACTGACTACCAAACACCCTGTATACAGAGTGTCCCACGTAAGTGACGTAAGGTGTCTCAAATTTATTAAGAAAAAACGGCATAACGTACAAGGATTAAATAAAACTATTTTCCACTAAATCAACCCCAAGGAATAAAGTAAAATTATTTTTAACTTTTTCCCTTTACAGGGTGTGCCAAAAAATGAGGGTCATTAGTTTAAATCTCGGAATTTTCAAAAGTAAAATGTCATGTTATACATAATTTTAAAGGTATTCAATAGACAAATATTTTGGTCTAAACAGATATTAATTATCTTTTTCCGTTTCAAAACGGCAGCAGTTTTTTTGGGGAAATTCTATAATTTTTAATCCCGTACTCAGTGCTTCCTATAAACACATAGCCCTTCTCCGGTTGAATTTTCTTACTCGTTATGAAATAAGCTTTACTGTGTTATGCTAAAAGTACAGTTTTTTTCAATATATAAAAAATGTGCCGTTTTTCCGTAATCAATTTGAGACACCTTACGTGGGACACCCTGTATAAGAAAAGTTTTACATAAAGATTACATTTTCTTTTTTTTAGTAAACTCTACAACATCTAAGAAAGCCTGGACAGTTTGATATACTAAAAAGAACTGAACTAACACTGTGCTGCATTTCTTGAGCAATAATTGAAAGAGCTGATTTGCAAACTATGAAAACATAGAAAAATCATAGAACACCACCAAGTAGAAGAAATAGAAATAATGTTTTTTTTAGAATGTATCGTTATTATACATCATTAATTACACATCATCATTATACAACCTAATACGCTATGAGAGGGAAACATTTGAAGAAAACACTGAAAAACAAGACCAGCTTTTGAATAATGATAAGATATTTAAAAAAAAGTTGATTATATCAAACTGTTATGTACATCGTGAGTATTTCCATAATCTTTGAGTGGACTCTTTTCAAGTCATAGACAATTATTCGTTTTAATAATGCATTTCATACTTTGCAATTGCTTGACTTCGAGCAACAGGTATACTAGTTATATTGTATACCGGCACATTTATACTGTTTTGTGTTTTGTAATAAATTCAACAGAGAATCATCAATAGCAGAACATCATACGAGGCTGGATTTCGCTGCAATAATTCATGACAGAGTGAACCCACTCTTGCGATCTGATATTATTTCAGCTTGGATTTATGTTCTCATTTCCCAGTTGAATTCAATTTGCTAAACCCATCTCTTTGACACATAAAGAGAGCGAGCTAGGACGTATGTGTCGCTTGCAATGCCGCAGGTTCATTTTATTTTTATGTTCCAATCTGTGTTTCCAGAACAAGTTTATTTCTTGTCAGAATATTGATTTACAATATTTTCAAACAATACTGTTACATAAATTTTTTCCCTTTTGGTCTTTTGAAGTACTGTAATTGCATTTAAATGTTTGTTTATTAGAATAAGTTAACTTAATTGATTTGTTTGTAGTTTATTATGTCTGTATGTAGTTTATTTTTAACATTTGTTATTAGAAAAACTAAATGGGACTAGAGGTCATATACTTAATATTTAAATTAATCCTCATGTACTGTAATCCATCCCAAAGTACCCATGAACTCTTGAGAAAACTACAAGTCACACCCCCATAAACCATATCGTTAAAGTTAAAATGTTTTTCATGACGAGAAACCTTGCGCAAAACCATCCATTATTTCAAACTGCCCTTTAAGGTCACAATTCCTTTCTAAAGGGAACTTTCCATTATACCTAATGTTAAAAATACCCCAGCTATACTGTGTACTTATATGATTTATAAACACCGTCGTGATGCAGTACACAGAGTTCTATTCAAATGTTATTTTACATCTAGAAACATTTTAATTTAACTCTGAAACACTACAGTAAATTGTTGTCAACATTTTCTTGATTTATCAAATAAAATATTTAGAATAATTCTTTGACTAGTTTACTCCTTTACCAAATTATTCTTTAAGGTTCCGGTAGATTTAACTATGGTACTTATAACAAAACCTAGGTACATTCCTTTTGATGACGCTATTGTAACAAATTCACACACACACAACAATCTGATCTAAGGGAACACAAACACGGTCATCTAATCTAAGGGAACCATAGTTGACAAATAGTAACTCAGAACATCATAGAGCTAAATCAAGTAACAATGCTGGACAAAGATCTAAACTTGTAGCCTTCCTTGATTGTTGTTTAGCTTTGGGCTTCATCCTTCAATGCATTGAGAGTAGTCTATTTACATTTCATCAGTGTTTAGCAAAGGCTTGATTGACTACTTTGTTCTGAAAACACTGTAATTGGATGTGGTAAAATTAATAGTCTCAACAAATACTTTTGGAATGATTTGTATAATAAAATAATACGTTAACAAATTGTGAATAAGTTTTTTAGAATTTAACTATTTATAGGGTTTATCACTGAAATCAAATACAACATTTTACAAAACATGATTTTTATTAAGTATAAAAATTATTACAATTAATTATTGCTTACCATGTGACTAGTTATTTGAACTACCCAAATTTAATTGTAATACAATAATTTGAGTAAGTAGAAACTTAACCTAAACACTGATATTAAAATATTTTTTTCGTCACACTGTAGCAAAAACAAGTTTTTTATAAGCCTCCATGTGTAGCAATTAAATTTAATCAATCAATTATTTAAGATTGTGATGGGACGCCACTATATGCATATTTGAACCCAAATATGAGTGTAGGGTGAGTGGCACGATCTTGTTGTCTTGTTAGTGACTAAGGCGACATGTTCCTTAGACACAACTGTTAATAATAGCCCATACAGCCAATAGCAACTAAGGGACCAACAGATAAGTGGAATCCAAACCACGGTTTTCCTTGTAATTAATGAATTGGTCTAATTATCATTGCAGATCTAAGGCAGATCATTTAGTCCCTAGGGAGTACAAAACATTTTAACCCCATACATCCTAGGGAGTAAAAGTCAAATGTAGTAAACTTAGTTGCAAACTTCAATAATAAGCAATTTTATATATCAAAATTATTTATCGAGTGATTTAATTGGTTGCAGTTTATTTTTGCATTCTTATCAATAGTTAGTAGATAGATAGATTAGTGGATAGATTAATATTATATTGTTAGTATAATCATGGATTGACAGGAGTTGATCTTTTAAAGGAGTGTCTACTCCCTTAATCTATGGTATAATGTAGGCTACACTCACACAATTTATTGTAATAGATACACAATTATTTTAATCAATTACCAAATGCTTAATGTAACAATGTGACAAAAAATATAGTTCATCTCAAGGGCAAAAAGTGTCTTATTAACCCTTGCATGGACCACCTCGGTTGTGAAACTTGAGCTTGGGTTGAAAATAGTCACTTTACGGAGTGATGAAATATACTATACAAGTGACCTGAGTATATAAAACTATGTTATAGGCCTACTTAATATAATGATTGAATAATGTGATAAAAACAAATACAGTAGGTATCAGTCATATAAGTAAAATTGTCATGTGACTCCGCTCAACATGGAAATATAAGATACTCTCTTAAGCTGCCTCGGCAATCATTATCTTCCTCTTTACGATGTCGTATGCCGTGTAGTATTGGTAGAGGAATGCTCCTCCCAAGACCCAGGTGTTGTTGGCAGCGGACGGCTCGGCAGGCTGGAATGCGGACAGACAAAGTGTGATCCCGGAGTAGGAGATCTGTAAAGAAGATGTTCTTCAAGAGTAAAGAAAATAGGTGTTTTGACGATTTTATTGCTATGAAATTAATTCATATGTTTTATAAATATTAAAGATAAGAATGGTAGGCTACTGTATGTTACAATTAACGATACAGCTCACATCGAATCCAGGTATTTATAACTTGGTAGATGTTTATTTATATTAAATCGAGGTCTAAGATTGATACTATATTTAACTATTGAAACATAAAAAAATATATAGTTGATTAAAATAAAATCAGTACCATTGGTTACTCTAAATGCATTAGCAACCCTAAATGCATTAAAATAATAAAAAATTACATAACTTGGAGGTAGTTGAAAGATTAGCATCACAATAAAAACCAAAGTATTTCCTTGGTGTTTAGTGAATGACTTAAAGTTTACTGGGGCTGATTACACAATAAGCTAAATGCACTTAACAAAATACATGAAACAGTACCTTCTGGATGTAATCTCTAGCAAGGATCTGGAACTCCTGGTTAGCAATAGTAAACTTGACCTTTGGACCCTTAAACTCATTGATGCATGGTATCTAGAAATTATATTCAGATGTTAAATAGAGAAATGATTATTGCATAATATTGTGTTACTGTAGAATAAAGTAGGGTAGGCCTACACAATAAATTATGAGTTACGGAAATGTGAAATCTTTGACATAGTAAAGTAATTATTCTACTCCTGTTGGTTATGATTGGTTTTACAATGTAAAAAATATATATTTGTTCAACCAGTTTAACATGGTTAATCACTTAACATTGTATTCTGTTAATATAAGACATGTTTTACATTCATTTCCCAGGGTTGGAGGGGTTCATCCCCCTGAAATTAAATCATGAGGCTGCCACTGTATACTCTTAAAGTATAGAAACGTATGAATCATTGCAACTGATTGTTATAAAACAGTATAATCTGTTAATATCGTAATTAAAGTTCTTAATTAATTACTAGGTGATTTAATACTCTTCATAGTTTCATAATTAATTAAGTACTTTAAAGATATAGCAAAGATAAAACATACTCCATGGTTTTAGTTATTTTAATATAGGGAGTAGTCATTAGTTGTAGACCACATGAAAATGGACCTCCTTCATAAACTGAAGAATATTAAAATATTGTTGTAATTCAATTGCTGTTATAAACAGTAGTTGTTCTCAATCTCAATCTGGCCAATTCCTTGCAGTTTATTAAAGTTTTTCTTAAAAACCTCTGTCATATTTTGTAAATCCATATGAACATATCTTTAAGGACTGTATGTATATTACAATTTTTAATGTAGAGGCAAACCCATCAAAATATCAAAAATTATTTGTAGACCCAATATGACTTACAATAAATTAAATTTTAACCATACCATGAATCGATTTGAAAAAAAGATCTCGGTGGCTCCGATGAGTCGGTTGATGTCATTTACCTCGGCTGGGGGACCTACGATTGTGTTGGCGCTGGTGTCAGCAAGAGCATAACATCCACCCTTACAGTACTCTTGCTGGCTCTTCTTGCTCATCACTAGAGTGACTCTGCAGAAACATCAGCAATATTACAGTCAAATTTCCTATGCTGATGTCCAGGGTAAGTTTGTTATCACATCTTACTATCTTAGTTACATTGGTTCAGTAAATTATAGTCTATACTTACAGTCATGTTATTATCAAATAAACAAATTTAGAAAAACAGTAAATGATGTATAAACATTTTATGTTTAGGTTTTTATTGGTCTCCATACAGAAAAATTTTCCAAAGAAAGTTAAATTTGCTTGAATGTAACAAAAAAGTTTAACCATTAAGGGGCATTAACCTAAATTCGTTGGTTGCATAGTAAGACTTAACCAATTCATAGCAAGCTTGTAAAGGGCAACTACATTTTATACACTCAGAGGGATTGCGATTGAGAATGCCTGAATGGAACGGGTGACTCGTCCTAGAGGAACAATCTCAGACACTACTGAGACTTTAAACACATGAAAACTGTGTCAGGCGAAATTGATAAGTCCTACAATGTTAGCGTAACCCAGGGATACAGCGATTGTTTAAAATCGTCCGATGCTATTTTGGCACAGACAGAAATTGTACTAACCCAATAAAAGCAGGACCTCATAACATCTCATCTACTTGTGTTTACCTCCAACTCACGTCCAGGAACAACTCTATTAGGCTATACCACAATCCCTGGTAGAGACCAGGGACAATAAGAGAATAAGAGTATTCACAGCTAACCTGCATATCAGAGAGGACATGGGTGCGCTCCTTAGCAAACAAGCCGACAATGTACATCTCCTCGGGTCAAGTAATAACCATTCTAAGTACAATGGATGTGAAATTTGAACCTTGTTCTTTCCATGGTAAGAATTAAGAAAAACGCAACCAGTAGGTTGCATATTGTAAGTTTATCGGTAACAACATGACTAAATTATGATTCTTACTTGTCCATTTTGAACTGCCAATAGTATTTTGAAATGACGTCTACAGTAGTGAACGCTGTTTTATTGTGTTTAAAATCGATTCCTCCAAAGAAGACAGAGCCTCCTCGTTTTGTAGTAGGATCTCTGTAACATAAACTGTCAGTTAACCTAAAGAGTCTCTGTAAAAATGGGTTTCCAGTAATTTATTTGAGAACATTTTGTTCAAAACATACTGTCTTATTAGTCAGCACTACTGTAATTACTGTACAAGTCATCTCACTCCACTAACTTTCACTCATATCCAGGTTTTTAATATACATCTACTATGTATGGTCGCCATTTCATCAAACAGTATTAACAGTTGCATCTTTGCATCTCTGTCTCAGGACTAACAGCAGGTGTGAACAGCAATTTGTACAGGGTGTTCAAAAAAAGGTGGGGACATAATTTACGTAGTAATTCCTTGGGTCAAAATTAAGAGAAAATCTAGAATATAACATTTTTTCCAAAATGGCTTCGTCAACCAGATATTTGCCATTTTGTATTTTTATATAAACATTTTTATCTTCAAATTTTTAAAACCGATCTTTATGAAACTTGGTATTTATGTTAAGGTAGAAGAGAACCATGCTAGATAAAACAATTGTTTTGATTCAACTTAAAATTTCAAAATGGCAGACATTTTATTTTCTTACTAAATTTTGCTTTTTTAATGAAGAAATGTCAAGAAGACTTTTACTTAGAATTTTTAACATCAAACAATACCAAGTTCAAAAAGATCAATACAAAAACTGAAATATCATAATTTTTAGTTGTAAAATAAGGCAAACCTGACTCTCTTAGCCTTATACTACCCCATTTTACATCTGAAAATCGTGATATTTCAGCAATTTTTTTATTTGATCTTTTTGAATTTGGTATTTTTTTATAGGAAATTAAATTGCTGAATAAAAGTGTTGTTGACATTTTTTCATAAAATCAGCCATATTTCAGAAATTTCGGTTAAAAAAATTATAATGGCCGCCATTTTGAAATTTTTAGTTGAATCAAGATAATCTTTCATTCTGACATGGTTCTCTCTCTACCTTTAACATACAAACCAAGTTTCATAAAGATCAGTTAAAAAAAGTCAAAGATAAAATGTTTATGTAAAAAAATACAAAATGGTGGAAATCTGGTAACAAAGTTAATGTTATTTTAGACTTTCTCTTTATTTTGACCCAAGGAACCACTACGTAAATTACGTCCCCACCTTTTTTGAACACTTTGTATATAGTTATATAGGCTAAAGAAAAGTAAATGAACTGAAAACCAACCTGTGTGGCAAAGCTGATGCCACATGAACAGGTATTCTAAGAAATAACAGGATCTTAGAAAGTGCATGGGTGTTTTTTAGAGATGAGACTATGAGACCTGCTCTACACCATATTCAGTTATTTTTCATGGTGACAAATAAAATCCTTGGTAATATCGCAGATGAATGGTAAGTAAGTACATTGAGCTTAGGCAGAGGGAGGCCAGCATTTATGAAAAAAATCCAAAATCCAAGCCCGTTCAGATGGGGGAGCAGGAGCCCAAGGCCTTGGTTTTAGAAATTGGAGTTTAGAATCTTTTTCCAAATTGGAGTTTCTGTTTCAAATTGAATTATTTACACAGTTCTAGGTTCTAGTCTACTCTACCTTTTTGTTTCTTTTTCATCTTTTTGGTTTTGTAGGCTAATATTAATATAGGGTTTTGTAAGCGAGTGTTGTATTTTTTTCCTGAGCTACGTCACCTAAAGTAGCCTGAGGTTACATACAATACAACTGGGTCTGGTCGAAGGGTAAAATTCAACCTTCCTGGAAAATACCAGTCTCCTAATGGGGCTGGTGTGGTGTCAACTTCGCCACAGCAGTATATTTTTTAAAATTTTATTTCAATATTTATTTTGCACATCTTGTTTATTGTTAAAATGTTATGTTTGGTTTTTGTTATGATATACCTAAAATTCATTATTCTTTTGTTAATTTAATGTTCACATCATAATTTTTGATAATGTAGTGGTATTATTTAATGTAGATATAACATCACAATTACCTGTTTACATAGAAAGAAAATATTGGAGCAAGATTATTCTGGGTGTAGAAGTTGTAGAACAAAGGAGTGACATTGGGAGACAGTTTATCAAATCCTAGTCCAAGAGTTCCATCTGCTTCATACAGAGCGTATATCCATGGTATGTGGTTGAGTTCTGCAAACTTCTGACCTGTGACATTCATCTGGCCTACCTGGAGAAGTGGAGAGCAATGAATGTTTTGTTAAAAAAAATACAGAAATAAGGAACACAGTAATGGGAGAAATTTTAAAACTACTTACCAGTAAGGACTCTAAAGATTTTATTTTATTACAATTTTTTTAATAATTTTTGCATCAATGTACACTAGAGGTGTGGGTTTTGGGTTATGTATATTTTGACATTTCAGTTATCATTATTTCCAGCTTATCTCTTATCAATAGCAATGCATTTACCTTGTAGTTGGTTACAACCTTCTGTACCTTCTGTAGGTTACAAATTCAGTAAATTTGGTAAAAGTAGTGTTTATATAAATACTTATAAGAAACAACCAACTTTAATCATATTTAATTTATTTGTTTTTGTTTACGTATTGTAAATATTATGACTAATATTTTCTGTTTAATACCATTATCATTGGTTTGGTGTTAACATTTACTGTACATTGTATTCATGAAATAGCTCAGGAAAGTAACTTTAATCAAAGTTTTAACTAAAGAAGAAAGAAATATCTGAAATGGTCCCAACAAAACTAAATTTTAACACAACAAAATTAGACATTTAAATAAACTATTTACTACCTTACAGAAAACTTTGTTTGGTTTTAGTTTTCAGAAAGAAAATTTGTTGTATCAAAGCAAAAGTTTGAAAGCACAGGACTAAAAAGGGTAAAAAAACCTATGAAATTAGAGAGCTTTCCGTATGATATCAAATACATTTTAACTCATTAGTGGTTTAAATATCCAATATTTGATTTATGCATCATTTTAAGCTACAGATTTATTTAAAATACCGGTATTTCATTTGATTTAATACCATTGAATAGTTATTATCTTGATTATTAATAATGAAACCTGCTTACCAAGAATAGATCATTGGATAGGTAACCTATGTATTTGTTTGATATGTTAAATGGTGTTCCATCTTCTTTGTAAGTAGAAGATCCCTTATGATCGTATCTTTCATGTCGAGCTGAAAAATATGGTTTTCCTTAATCAATATACTTGCTATTTTAATAAGTTTATATAACCTATATTGAAATCATTGTCTGGAATAGACATACGGCAATGAATATAAACTGTTCTCCCCTGTCATAGGTTTTGGTAAGAAGCACAACAACATTTTAATTTGTTTAGTAGATTCCGTTAAAAACCACATACTTTGCTATAAAAATGACTACAAAATAATGCCAATCATGTTTTTTTTTCCAAGAAAAGATTTTTTTTTTGCAATAAAGCTCTGTTTCGATAGTTTGATCATGCCATTTTGAATCTTTGTTGTTAACATCATACATCACATATAATTCGCGTACACAATTAATCAGACGCTCGTTATTTTGCCATTTTGCACACAAGTTGCGTGGCATGTGTTGGAAAATCTGTGTCCGTGCTACTAACAGTGACATGCTGGCCCATGCGTGGGCCAGACGTATACATACGTGCGTCACAGCTTACGCAGAGCAGTACAGGAACATGTGGTGGCACAATTTTCTGTAAAGTATTGCTTTGCGCCGCAAGCGTCTCAGCATAGGCCCGGCCTTAAAATGGAGAACCTATATGTCTATGTAATTAATTTGATTGTATATAAGGTTGTCAGGTGTAGCCTGAGTAAATGAAGAATTATTATTAATTTCATTTAATTTTTTCCTTATAAAACAAATATGATGTTCTGTTTTGTATGGTTATTATTTTCTCATGTATAAATGAAACAAGATCTTCTAATGTAGTTAATTCTTTCTTTTAGCTGTGTTGATGTAAAAAAAATACCAACATTTTTAATTTGTATAAAGTAATAAAAATAATAATGTAATTACATAATGATTGTGTTACATTGTATTATCACCAAAATAGTTGTTAACATTGCATGGTGTAAACCTTCGTCTAATTGAGAACTTAAGTTTTACTGTACAAACATATGGTCATGAAAAATACCACAAGGAATACTGGTGAGCATTCTACAGACTGGACCCAGGTGGATACCCAAGTGTAATGGAGAAATTAGATTATACATATATTCAAGCACAATACCTGCACAAGGAATACTGGTAAGAGGGCATTCTACAGACTGGACCCAGGTGGATACCAAAGTGTAATGGAGAAATTAGATTATACATATATTCAAGCACAATACCTGCACAAGGAATACTGGTAAGAGGGCATTCTACAGACTGGACCCAGGTGGATACCCAAGTGTAATGGAGAAATTAGATTATACATATATTCAAGCACAATACCTGCACAAGGAATACTGGTAAGAGGGCATTCTACAGACTGGACCCAGGTGGATACCCAAGTGTAATGGAGAAATTAGATTATACATATATTCAAGCACAATGCCTGCACAAGGAATACTGGTAAGAGGGCATTCTACAGACTGGACCCAGGTGGATACCCAAGTGTAATGGAGAAATTAGATTATACATATATTCAAGCACAATACCTGCACAAGGAATACTGGTAAGAGGGCATTCTACAGACTGGACCCAGGTGGATACCCAAGTGTAATGGAGAAATTAGATTATACATATATTCAAGCACAATACCTGCACAAGGAATACTGGTAAGAGGGCATTCTACAGACTGGACCCAGGTGGATACCCAAGCGTAATGGAGAAATTAGATTATACATATATTCAAGCACAATACCTGCACAAGGAATACTGGTAAGAGGGCATTCTACAGACTGGACCCAGGTGGATACCCAAGTGTAATGGAGAAATTAGATTATACATATATTCAAGCACAATACCAGCACAAGGAATACTGGTAAGAGGGCATTCTACAGACTGGACCCAGGTGGATACCCAAGTGTAATGGAGAAATTAAGTTACATATAATCAAGCACAATACCAGCACAAGGAATACTGGTAAGAGGGCATTCTACAGACTGGACCCAGGTGGATACCCAAGTGTAATGGAGAAATTAGATTATACATATATTCAAGCACAATACCAGCACAAAGAATACTGGTGAGTGGGCATTCTACAGACTGGACCCAGGTGGATACCCAAGTGTAATGGAGAATTTAAGTTACATATAATCAAGCACAATACCAGCACAAGGAATACTGGTAAGAGGGCATTCTACAGACTGGACCCAGGTGGATACCCAAGTGTAATGGAGAAATTAGATTATACATATATTCAAGCACAATGCCAGCTCAAGGAATACTGGTAAGAGGGCATTTTACAGACTGGACCCAGGTGGATACCCAAGTGTAACCCAAGTCAAATCATCATCAACTTATCAACCAATTAAATTTGGGGTGCCACAAGGTTCAATTTTGGGGCCTTTGCTTTTTTTGTGTTACCTTAAGGGCATGGAAGATACTTTAACCTACAAGCAAAATTCTAAATTATGTCTCTACTCTGATGATTCTAATTTGATTATATCATCTAACTCTCCAGAAGGAGCTGAAATTCTTACATATGTAGAATTAGAGAATATTGGAAACTATTTCTACAATCATAACTTATTATTAAGTTCACAAAAAACTAAATTTATAAATTTCAGAACAGCACAGAACAGAATTACAAAAGAGCCAACAATAACTTACAACTCGAATAACATTCAAAAGGAAAATCAAATCAATTTTCTGGGATTAACAATAGATGAAAATTTGAATTGGGATAAACACACACAGAAAGTTTTAACCTAAACTAACTCTGGAATGTTCACATTATCAAAAATGTCCTTTTATAGTAATTTGAAAAGCCTAAAAAATATATATTTTGTACACATTTACTCCAATATTTCATTCGGTTTAGCATTATATGGGTCAACAAAAATATTATATATGGATAGTATTCTGAAGCGACAAAAAGAAGCTATCAGAATTATGCTTAAGCTTAAACAAGATGATTTGGCAAAAGAATATTTTAAGAAATTAAAAATTTTTACAGTTTATGGGCAATACATTTATGAAACAATTCTTATCGCAAAAAAAAAATGAATCTGAGCAAGTAATAAATTCAGTGCATTCTTATAATTTTAGGAGGAGAAGAGAGTTTGTCCAGCCTCACAAATTAAAATTAAAAAAACCTCATATGCTGGTAATGATTTTCTAAAATTTGCCCCTGAATTCATAAAAAAAAAAACAAACCTATCTAAATTCAAGAAAATTCTAAAGGAGCATTTAAAATCTAACATTATATTCTTTTGATGGATTTTCCACCTCCCATAAATAGAAATAGTATTTTTATTTTAAGTATTCTGACACTATTCACTTTACCACCAATGTACATGATTTAAGAATAAAGATTAAAAAAATGGAGAACTTAAGTTAGGTACATATAATCAAGCACAAGGAAAACTGGTAAGAGGGCATTCTACAGACTGGACCCAGGTGGATACCCAAGTGTAATGGAGAACTTAAGCTATACATATATCCAAGGACAATACCAGCACAAGGAATACTGGTAAGAGGGCATTCTACAGACTGGACCCAGGTGGATACCCAAGTGTAATGGAGAAATTAGAATATACATATATTCAAGCACAATACCAGCACAAGGAATACTGGTAAGAGGGCATTCTACAGACTGGACCCAGGTGGATACCCAAGTGTAATGGAGAAATTAGATTATACATATATTCAAGCACAATAGCAGCACAAGGAATACTGGTAAGAGGGCATTCTACAGACTGGACCCAGGTGGATACCCAAGTGTAATGGAGAACTTAAGTTATACATATATTCAAGCACAATACCACAAGCTATACTGGTGAGTGGGCATTCTACAGACTGGACCCAGGTGGATACCCAAGTGTAATGGAGAACTTAAGTTATACATATATTCAAGCACAATACCACAAGCTATACTGGTGAGTGGGCATTCTACAGAGGGGCCCCAGGTGGATACCCAAGTGTAATGGAGAACTTAAGTTATACATATATTCAAGCACAATACCACAAGCTATACTGGTGAGTGGGCATTCTACAGAGGGGACCCAGGTGAATGCCCAAGCCGTGTCCATCACCATCTTGAATGTCTTTCCTGGCTTGCCAATGTTGATTAGACCGTAATATTGAGTCTGAAAATTGAAAGTCACATTAATAATAAAGCAAGGTTAAGTACTTGATGCTATCTATACTAGTGATGATTTAAATTACTTAAACTTATAATACCAATTTGAGCACTTAAATTTCAGAAGTTGTTTTACTGATAACAGCCATTGGTGTAGTGTGGCGGGAATGGATGTGATTTCCAAAATATGGCTCAAAAGATTTTGATTAAAAATACTGGGAGTACTTCTGCCTTTAAACAATATGGTTGACATAACATCCATTGATGTAAAAATTACAGTTTAAACGCTTTAGCAACATTTGTGATTTTCCCCCAAAAATATGCTACAGTACAGTTGTTACTCCCACCTCTTCCATTAAATGGTTGTTGATAAACTAATGTGGTAGGAGAAAATATGTGTCGGATTGCTGACAGTTTATTTCCTAACTGATGATGAGAATTACCGTACTGGTCAATTTACGACTACATCCACCTTTAACACCAGGCCGTGGCCTGGTAGAATTGGCAACGTCGCAAGTAGGGTTGTTTAGTGTCAGACGTCCCATAAGATAACATGGCAGACAGGTGACATCAGCCCATTAATTCACACTTTATTGATTTAAATTTAAATTTATGAACATAAATTTATTTAAATTTTGAAAATAAAACATACAGAATTGAAAACCAGAACAATCTGAATTGAAAATCTACATCTGTACATTTAAAGCAGAGTCAATTTTTTCATAGTCCAGTAACCAAGCTTTTGTAAATAAGTTACACAAATACCATTAGCTGGTTCCAAACAAAACAGCTGTTACAACCCAACCCTACTTGCAACGTTGCCACTTCGAAGGCCGTGGCCTGGAGTTAAAGTTGGTCGTGCTACATCACTGATCAAAACCAGCTGATTTAGCCAACGTAAGCATTAAGTTATACATACAAGCATTAAAATATACCTTATCTTCTTCAAGTTTTGATTCTTTAAAGCAAGCCCGCTTTTATAAACGAACAGAATGGGCATATGTCCAGGGACGCCGGTGGTTGAGGGGCGCCTGGCATGCGCCGTACAACTACTGCCCACCCGCGCTGGGAAAAAAGGGGGCCCTGCTTTTGAGTTTGCCCAGGGCTCCACCGACCCTTAACGCAGCCCTGCTTTAAAGTGATTAAACCTTTCTCAGAATCAAACTGGCAACTTTGGGACTGCATTGAAAATCCTCTTATCTGCAATTGACAAGCAAGCCAATGTGATATAATTAAATTAAAAGAAAAAAAGACTTACATCAAAGTATTTGAAGAGTGGCAGAGTGTCGTTGGTTGGTATAGGTTTGCCGTTTTGCATCACCAGTCGGCTTGGCTTGGCTGCTCTGCGTTGCATGTCATAAATACCTTCGATCAACTTTAAGTCAGCTCCGCGTCTCAGTAACTTCTCCAAACCTGTTTCCATTCTTTCCATAGGAATTCTGGAAATTTAATAAAACCAAATACATATTTAAATCCCAAAGTACCCATGAACTTTTTAGAAAACTAAAAGTCACACCACTATAAACAATACTTAAAATGTTCTTCATGCAAGAAACCTTGTGCAAAACTATCCATTATTTCATAAATTGCCCTTTAAGGTCGTAATTCCCTTCTAAAGGGAACTTTCCATATATAATTACCCAATACCAAGCCATATATAATCACTAAGTTATTAAAAGTGAAGGAATTGAGCAACATGTACACTAGTAGTTTTATTAATACGTTAATACTTGTTAATACTTATGAAGTCAAATGGGCTGATACCTAATGTTAAACCTCAGATGTACATTTGTTGGTTTTATTCATTAAATTCATTGCCTTATTAAAATCAGGTGTTAATATTTGTTTGTATTACCAGTAATTACTGTATTCCGTTTTGTTTATTTCAGTTTATCAATCTATTACTTATTTAATACGCAAGCAGGTTTTTTGTGACAATTACTCCTCCGAAACTACTGAACCGATTGACATGTTTTTGTGTCATTGGAAAGAGCTTAACGTGAAGTTGTGCAGGAAACTTTCATTTTAGGGAAATAATTAGAGAGTGAGACCCCGGGGCCCTTTTAAGTTTGATATTTCTCCATAAGATTAACATGGGAAACAAACATTGATATGAAACTCCAGCTGTTGTCAGAAATTAAAAGTGAGAAGAAGAACATTGTGTTAATTGTATAATTGTGACAGAGAGGTTATGCAGAAAACCAGGTTGATAATGATTATTGGATTGGGTGCTATTAAAATAAAAACTGAAATTTTTTAACGTACTAGCGACAATGGGTGATACCATGCAGACTACATTTTCATTGACAAAGACAAAGATGGACAACCTATTGCGGCTATAAGTGGGAAACATTTCTACAATACAAAAGCCAGATCAGCTTTTGAAAAATTCATTAGTTACCGGTACGTAATCTTTGAGTATGCATGACTTATATTTGTTTTTAAATAAGTTATTTGTTTTTATATAACTCCTTTACCGTACTTCTTTGCGATTGCTTGATTTCGAGCAACATGTACACTATAGTAGTTTTATTAATACGTTACCTACTTGTTAATACTTATGAAGTCAAATGGGGTGAAGACCCTGAGTAACAGCTAGTATACAGGGTTAATAAAAAGTCCGGAGACCCCCTGTCAATTTTTTAATGGCCCATACTAGAAAAACTATACTCCTTCACACCTTTATGGCATGTTATGAAGTACTTCTTGGGCATAACCGCCATTCGTGTTTATCCCCAAAATGGGGTATTTCAGGGGAAACTAAAAAATGTTAAATGGTAGGACCCATTGAGTAAACTTACCTCTAATTTTGAAGGTCGTTATAAAATATGGCAGTCAATTGAAATCTTTAGAAATCAGAATTAACTTATAATTTTCCTTTTAACATTTTAATTGACTGCCATCATATTTTGTGTTCAGATAGACACCTATAGTTTGTGTTGTTAGTTTTCTTTTATCACCTTCAAAATGAGGGATCACTCAACGGGGCTTAACATTAGACATTTTTTAGTTTCACCAAAAATCCCCCATTTTGGGTTTGCAAACCAAGTAGCAATGAGGCTCAAAAAGTACTTCACAACATGCCATGAAGGGGTGTAGAGTTTAGTTTTTCTCGCGTGAGCCGTTACAAAATTTACAGGGGGTCTCCAGACTTGGAAAGCTGTATGTTAAATTTCACTTCTGAGAATTTCAATTATGACTTCCTTTTTTAATTGGTTGAGATCCCCTAGTTTACGTTGTTGGTTTTCTTTTATCAGGACCTTCAAAATTAGGGTTACTTGATGCTGGGTCTTACTATTTGAAATTTTTTAGTTTCTCCCAAAATCCCCCATTTTAGGCATGTACACGAAGTGGCGGTTATGTTAAAAAAATACTTCATAACATGCCATAAAGGTGTGCACAGTTTAGTTTTTCTAGTATGGGCCGTTAACAAATTCACAGGGGGTCTCCAGACTTTTTATTAACCCTGTATATAAAATTCAATAAATTAATAAGTCAAACAGTTGCTCGAATTGAAGTACGGTAAGTTAAAACAATTAAAAATGAAACTAGGGTACATGACATTTAAATCAGAAATTTGAAAGCCTTTAGGGCAAAGCCTAGCCTGAGAGGATGGTTTTTGTCTTTTAAACACCTTAAAACGGTTTATCTTAAGAGTAAAAGCTTTATGAGAGAAACTTCATCATTGGGTGCAAAGTGTTCACATTTAGAAATAAAAACAGCTTTAAAATTAAGAAAGAATGAATACTTTAGCTGGAATTAGTTCAGGCTGCTTTACCAGAGGATACATATGCTTGACTTTCTGATTCTATATTGAATTTGAGAAGCCAGTTGGCCTGTTAACCATCCAAAATATATTCCAGATTCCACTAGGCTATAGCAAAAATATGGCTGTATCCGCTTATCACAGTACAAAACACTTATTCCTGCCTCTTTATCATATGGAGAGGAAGCATAAGTAATAAGTTGAAAGTTCAATGTTATATTATATCAGAGTACGTATATAAGATTAAGGTATGTTTTAGTTAGGTACCGTACTAAATTTTAAATCGAAATACAGTTTAAAGCCAAGTACTCATCTCCATTCATACTTGGCTTGAAATAACTACATTCGTATGGTCGCAATTTCAAAGTAAAGTATTAAAAGGGATTAAAGTAGTAGGCCTACAGTAGAATAGAAAAACATACCTGATGAGTTGGGTTTCCTCTGCAACATTCAAGCCTACACAAAACAAAATGTAAACCAATAAAATCTTCATAGTGGTAATTGTTTTCTCTAAGAACTCTAAACCTTAACTGCGATGACAACTAAAACAAGAAAACATCTGCAGTAAAGACGAAATAACCCCCAAAAGGCGACACTAAAGACTAGACCAACGTCTAGACTGGTAAAATACAGACGAGACAATGATACAATATTGACAATGCCGGTGCCGACGGCGCGATAGTGGACGATGACCTTGGGCCGGACCCAGACTGTAAAGTACGGATCAACAGCTGTTAGCTAGCAGCTGGTCCCGGTCACAAACAAAAACAACCGAACCGATGGTGGTTCTGTTGTTCTGTTCTGTGTGGTAGTGGTCAGTGGTAAGTGTCAACGGTGCAGCTTCACACTACATTAATTGTAATCCCTCCACACAATATTCCTTCAGGTTAGGCCTATTCTATGTTTTATCACAGAACTATTTAAAAAAAGAAAAAGGTATTTTATTTGAAACAAAATTAACAAACCGGTAACGAAAAGGCTACAATGAAAGGACTAACAACGGAATGTAGGCTTACAATAAAGTGGAAGACTAATTTGAAATTTATGCCTATTAGGTTCAAATTTGCAATAGTCTAAATAAATGGGCTCTATCTCAGCGTAGGGTGTCGCGCTGGCTTGAATGCAAAGATTGGATGAATTAAATAATGTCCAAATAATTAAATTGTTTAACTTACAACATTCCAACAATGAAAATCAAATTTTGCTGTTGTCCAACCGGTAAGTCCAAATGTGCACAGAATTTACTAAGTTAATAAGTGAGTAAAAAAAAAAATGCACTTATTTTAGAAAATAACGTTGAAATTGAGTCCTCTTGAGGTTAACTTTAATAAATTAACCTTAATAAAATTATCGATTGGATTTTCTTGACGAGATTAAGTTAATTTAAATTGGATGAAATCTGTGCTTCTTTACAATTTTAATTACAGTATGGCTTCCTTCTCTCTTCAGACTCACTATCTGAATGTTCACATGAGTCTATTGTTAAAGAGACTGACTTGTTGAAAACATGGTCTGATCTGTGCTCACTGAATTTTGATTCCTTAAGTACTCATTTTGAATTAGAAGAGACGGGACTGGTTGTCACAATTTTTAAATTTTAATTTTTAATTTTTTTCTACTTAAGTAAATGAGTTGAACTTTATCCCATTTACATTTTTTTCCTTTTTGTGTACATTTGCTTCAATTTTCAAAACGTTATTGTGATTTAAAGTATATTTAAACAATATTTTTAATATTTTTGCAAGTGTGACAAAAAGCCCCTGGGTCGGGGTTGGTTGTCTCACAACTTGGGGTTGTTTCTCACATACATTTTATATGAGAAAATTGTGTCAAAGTCAAAATAACAAAATATTTTTTGCTATGATATTTGTTAAGTACAAGGCCTACTTTTTATGAACACTGTAAGTAGCTAGAAGTATTCATAGAAGAATTATTCAACAATTAACATATTCTGTCCATTTTATTAAGGTTGGGTCGTCATTCACTATCTGCATCAACAAAGTTGCTTTCACATTTTCAACAGACAAAATTTTTGATCCATCTGTGCAAGCACTATGAGCCCAAAGTTTACATTCCATGCACTGAACCCATTCTTCGCCCGGACGGCTACTTGTGAAGGAGTCCAAAAATATTATACAAAAACTTGAGTCGTCTTCTTCACTTTCAAAACCTCCGTCCGCCTTGATTTTTTGTGTTTTTTGCGCACCTCTTTTTTATTTATCTCGTTTCCTTTGAGAATGTTTTTAGAAATGGATTCGGAGTGTGTTGTATTTGTAGCGTCCAAGAAAATTTTTCTTAGATTTAAATAGACCTTTGCATATGTTTTTCTCCAAAAATAAAAATAGTATACGAATATGGGGTTGCTTGTCACATGTGACAACTAGACCCCGTAAATTTGTGACAACCAGGCCCGGCGCCATATTTTTTAAAAAGCCGGCTCTACAGACCTAACCTATCTGCTAAGCCTAGTTTCTAACACACATAAATATACCTCTAAATGTGAGCTTTCATAAACACCTTAGCAATAAACAAATGACTTAAGTACTACAGTACAGTATTGTAATGTCAATTAAGAAAATTTTACTCAGCCAGTCGAAAAAATGATTTTTGGACATAACACAACCACCTGTTTACTTAAGGGTCTGATAATACTTGGAACAAACAACGGAAGGATGCCGCATAGGCTGAAGCACAAATCGGTACATTCTAGTGGAAACTAGAGGAACTACAACCCTTGTGACAACCAGCCCATGTGACAACCAGTCCCGGTCTCCCCTAACTTATATTTTATGAAATTTTGATATATTGCAATTCTTTTACAAATTATGTAAGTCTATGTAATAAATATACAAGTTGCGGGATTTGTATATATATATATATATATATATATATATATATATATATATATATATATATACAGGGTTAGTAAAAAGTGTGGAGACCCCCTGTTATTTTTTTAACGGCCCATACTAGAAAAACTTAACTTGGCACACCTTTATGGCTTGTTATGAAGTACTTTTTGGGCATAACCGCCACTTGGTGTACATCCCCAAAATGGGGGATTTTGGGGGAAACTCAAAAATTTCAAATACAAAGACCCATCGAGTGACCTCTCATTTTGAAGGTCCTGGTAAAAGAAAAACAACAACGCAAACTAGAGGTCTCTATCTCAATCCAGTAAAAGATGGCAGCCAATTGAAATTCTCAGAAGTTAAATTTAACTTACAGCTTTTCGAGTCTGGAGACCCTCTGTAAATTTTGTAACGGCTCACACTAGGCAAACTAAACTCTACACACTTTTTTGACATGTTATGAAGTAATTTTTAAGCCTAATAGCCACTTGGTTCCCAAACCCAAAATGGGGGATTTTGGGGGAAACTCAAAAATTTTAAACGATAAGCCCCATCGAGTGACCCCTCATTTTGAAGGCCCTGATAAAAGAAAACTAACAACGCAAACTAGAGGTCTCTATCTTAACACAGTAAAATATGGCAGCCAATTTAATATAAAATTACAAGTTATTTCTGATTTCTAAAGATTCAATCAGCTTCCATTTTTTACTGGATTGAGATAGGAACCTCTAGTTTGCGTTGTTAGTTTTCTTTTGCCAGGGCCTTCAAAATGAGGGGTCACTCGATGGGGCTTATCGTTTAAAATTTTTGAGTTTCCCCCAAAATCCCCCATTTTGGGTTTGGGAACCAAGTGGCTATTAGGCTTAAAAATTACTTCATAACATGCCAAAAAAGTGTGTAGAGCTTAGTTTGCCTAGTGTGAGCCGTTACAAAATTTACATGGGGTCTCCAGACTTGGAAAGCTGAAGGTTAAATTTAACTTCAGAGAATTTCAATTGGCTGCCATGTTTTACTGGATTGAGATAGAGACATCTAGTTTGCGTTGTTGGTTTTCTTATACCAGGACCTTCAAAATGAGGGGTCACTCGATGGGTCTTTGTATTTGAAATGTTTGAGTTTCCCCCAGAATCCCCCATTTTGAGGATGTACACCAAGTGGTGGTTATGCCCAAAAAGTACTTCATAACAAGCCATAAAGGTGTGCCGAGTTTAGTTTTTCTAGTATGGGCCGTTAAAAAAATAACAGGGGGTCTCCACACTTTTTACTAACCCTGTATATATATATATATTTTCAATTTCAATTTTCAATTTCTTTATTCTCCTGGTTTTCTTATACCAGGACCTTCAAAATGAGGGGTCACTCGATGGGTCTTTGTATTTGAAATGTTTGAGTTTCCCCCAAAATCCCCCATTTTGAGGATGTACACCAAGTGGTGGTTATGCCCAAAAAGTACTTCATAACAAGCCATAAAGGTGTGGCTTACCATAACAAGCCATAATAGTGTCCATTCCATCCAGTATAGGCTGTATGGAATGGATATTATTCATGATTAATATAGCCCTAAAACGCGATTGGTGAAGGCCACTACCTCAGGAAAATTCGTATTTCGCTACACAACTCATTTGCAAATTTATAAAATAAACATTAGTCTAATGGGTTGCTAAGTAACTATGTTGGTCGAACAAAAAAACAAGGAAAAGTAAACAAAATACTTGTAGCATGTGTTTACAACCAGCCATCACAGTATCACAGTATACCAGAAAATTACAAAATACAGTACATATTCGAAGCCGAATATTCAATAAATAGATATATTTATAAAAGAATATTCTGATTCTCGTACATAGTATGTTAAGATTTTGTATACAGTGTTGTTTAATGACAATCGCATGACAATAGCATCGTAGACATGTTCTTTCTGGCAGATCACCAGTGTGCCTAGCATAGCTGCATAGCCATAAGCACCCGGCTTAGTGGCCCTGATAAACTTCTTATCACAGAAAGTTAGCAGCGATAACTGCCCGCCCACATGAATGGTGACTCACAGCTTCATGCTCAAGTAAGTCATATCCTCTGTTGTTATCGTTATCAATGTCTAGGTTATCATTCGATGACCTCAACTATTATCTGAGTTGTGAGTCTGCAACCATTAACGCTTCTAGCCCGCTCAAATTGAGTCAGCGGTTCTGCATTCATTTTTTCATAGATTCTTTTAACATCTTTTTTTAACTTTTTACAGAAGAAAAAGGTTAAATATTATTATTATTAAATATTAAATATTATTTATGTCTCGCTGCCTATTTTGTGCTAGGACTGAGAAAGCTGTCCAGCAAATTTTGAGATAATTGGTTGGGTAATTCTGGCCAATCTCTTAAACCAATCCTCAGTGGCTCGCTTAAAGGCTCAAAATACAGCATCATTCCTACACATGAAGTGGAGGAAACGCTCATTCATTTTTTGGTGATTGGCCTCGCATTAGTGTAGTCAAGTGTATTTTTAGATTTTGAAGAGCTACAGATTACAGCATTAGAATAATTTATCATTTTAGAATCTGTCAGAGCCGAGAGAATCGTGTTAATGATTCATTAACCTCAAGAAGGTGGCGTTTGAATCAATAAGAGGAGGGTTGATCACATCAATTAATCATCCGTCACTGACGCCCTGACACCTTAACCTCCACTTCACTCTCTGCAACAAACTTACGCAGATTTACCATTTATTTCCTAATTTATTGTCGAAAATGTACTAATACTTTCAGATATATTTTAGTGAAGGCGATTTCTACGAATAAAAATGGTC